TAATCCTTTGCCACTTGCATCACACTGAATTGTTACCGGTTTGGTCACATCATAATACTGTAGGACTGGTGATTGTGAGACAAGTTCCTTGATCTTCTCGAAGCTTGTTTGCTGTGGTTGATCTCAGTGAAACAGTACATCGGCTTTCTCAAGCCCTCTCAACGGTGCGTCTACCTTGGATAATCCAGGAATATACCGACTTAGGAATTGCACAAATCCAATAAATCGTTTGACGTCTTCTTTGCTATTTGGCGTTGGCATTTCTCGAATAGCTTCAACTTTCCGAGAGTCCATCTTCAAACCTTCCGCTGTGAGGAGATGCCCTACATAAGGCACTTCTCTTTGGCGAATCTTACATTTTTCTCGATTGAGCTTTAATCCTTGTGTCGATGCTCTCTCCAAGAATTTTGTCAATTGTTCATCATGCGTTGTTTCATCCCCGGCGACAATTACATCATCCATAATAACCTCCACACCATCTAAATCTTCAACCATTCTATCCATGGTTCTTTGGAAGATCTCTGGGGCACCATTTTACTCCAAAAGGTAGCCTTGTAAATCTATACCGTCCTATTGGTGTGTTGAAGGTGCAGAGGAGTGAAGACTCTTCATCCAACTTCAGTTGCCAGAAACCATTCTTTGCATCCAATATGCTAAAGGTATTAGCACCTTCGAGACGACTGGCGACTTCATCCACAGTCTTCATCGGATGGTGGGATCTTTTCATAGCGGCATTCAAATCCCTCGGATCAATACACAGTCTCACTGCACCATTAGGCTTTTGAACCACGACCATCGAGTTGACCCAATCTGTCGCTTCTTCCTGTCGCACGATCACACCAAGTCTTTCCATTCTTTTCAGCTCTTCGATAACTTTTTCTCTCTGTGGAATTGGTACTTTTCTTGGAGCATGGACAACAGGGGTAGCACCTTCGTTTAGTTCGATATGATAATCACCAGGTAAGCATCCTAATCCTTTGAACAGCTCAGGGTAGTCATCCAATTTAACTTTCTTTAATGATGCTTCTTGACTTACAACTTGGTAAACTCTCTTCAGCAAACCAAGTTTGACACAAGTGTTTCCACTAAGAAAAGATTCAACTTCAGATTCCACAACAAAAAATTTTATATCTTCTGTGTGGTCTTTATACATTACTTTTAACACAACTTCTCCGAATGGATTTAATTTGTGCTTGGAAAAAGAAACCAAGACAGTATTTGTTTTCTTCAGTGGGCGGAGAGATGTACACTTGAGGTTGTTATAGGTCTTAAAAGACATAACATTTGCTTTTGCCCCACTGTCCAACTGAAATTTAACTTTGATATTTTCTACATCAACAGTTTCGTAAAATTGTTCATTCTCAGATGGAATGGTTGACTCAATTGCATATACAAATAAGGATGAGTCACTGTCCTCGGAACTAGTGTCCTCTTTTCCCTGTAACTGTACGTTGTTGACTGGTTTGGCTCGGCAGACCTTTGCATAGTGATTCATCTTTTGGCATCGTCTACACTGTTGACCCATTGCTGGGCATCTCTGGTGATTTTTATCGAAACCACATCTTTCACATCTGTCCTTCGACATGCTGTCCAATCCACCACTCGGGTTTTCTCGCTCTGTGTGCAATTTATTTGAGAGTATCGACAATTTCGAGGGTCTCGCTGACGGTACTGTACTGTCCGGTTTAATGGCATTAATGCCCGGGTCTTCGTCCTTCGTGAGTTTCTTTAAGCTAGCTAAATTGGCTTCATGGCTTCGTCCGATTTCAATAGCCTTTTCTAATGTCAAAGTATCGGCCAAATCGATACACTTCTCACGAACCTTCGTGTGTTTACAACTAAAAACGATTGCATCACGAACCATACGTTCCTCGTCTTTATAACCACAATCTTTTACCAGAATCCTGAGGTCTGTTACGAATGACTCAAAACTCTCGTTATCTCCTTGACGTCTTTCATTAAATTTCAAAGCGGCCATGATATAGTTCTTACGTGGAGTACAATAGTCCTCGAATTTCTTTAGTACAATGTCTAATTTCTTTGCATCGGCGGGTTGGGCAAATGTAAATCCTTCAAATACATCAAGTCCTTTATCGCCTACCCACAACTTTACATAGCTGACTTTAACGTTGTCCTCTTTTTCGTGTAAAGGACCTTCGAAAATACACATTGCTTGTCTATAGAATCGACGCCATTCTTGATTTAAATCTTGTACAATCCAAGACATTTCTGGGGTCTTAAATTTCGCCATTATTTATATATTTTTTCCCCGTTTACTAAACTATTATATATAGAAAGAACTCTTCTTTCTGTTTTCATTTAGATTCGAGCCTGATGGCTTGAATTCGGCACGGATTCATAAGGATCCTGACACCATGTAAAATAAAGACATTCATTCAAGATGGCTGACAATCACAACACAGAACGATATTAATTATTCAAACATAAATATGTTACAAATATACTCACCCGGGTGGGCCGAGTATGCTTATGCTAATTATGATATCACATGGCTGACCTGATTTGCCACAAGGTTTATGAATTTTTAATGAGTATTTTTAAGTACTATTTAAAGCACGCGTAGGAGACGTGTTTTATCAGATATAAAACGCGTGGCGCAGCCCAGCGTTTTATGTCTGATAAAACACGACAACGAGTGTTTTGAATAGCTTAAAATACGACTACAAAAGAATACTAATTAGGATGAACCATTATAATTATAATCATACTAATTAGGATGAACAATTATATAATGCCTCATGCTTTATCAGATATAAAGTCACTCCACGTGACATTATTATGGCTGATATGATTTGCCACAAGGTTTATGAATTATTAATGATATTTTAAATGTTTTTAGAATATATGGAACTTTCTCGTAATATCTTCTCTCCATAAATAGAAATCGGTTATTGCCGACTTGGTTATTTTAGATCAAAGATGGTTGAAATTTCCGGGTTTTCCAAACTAGCCAAAGAACGTCTTGTGAATCGCCAATTAAAATATGGTCCTACTTTCTTTTTCTTTATAAATGTACATGTGCATAATTTGTTAGGGCTATAGGATGTAGTCATTCGACGACGATTTTCAGATGTTTGGAATTCTTCTGTGTTGTTACTTATATCTATTAGGTATAGTTACGAATATTCAATTTCATATTTTGGCCGGTTGTTCCAAGATGGCGGCGTAACATAAAGTTTGCATGCATTTTACTCGTAGACTGAAATGTTCGAGAAGGAAATGATAATATTTTTATAGTTAAGTCGTCAAGTAGTATTGAAATAACCAACAAAAATTTTCGTTGCCACTGTCCTTTAAATTAAACATGTACAATATTAGCGTATAATTGAGTGCTTGAATTCGTATTAACTGGAGCGTGACGCTGTGAATATCTTTCGCTTATTTCTTAACTAAGTTCATATTTTGCCAACAGTTTGGGCAGCTCATTATGGGTACTGCAGGAATCATTTCAAAAACGCAGTTCAAAAACTGAACTGAACCATTTAAAGACATCACAAAATAGGCAGTCGCGAGACTGCACGTGGCTACTGTTGTTTACAAAGTATATAATAATGCGCGGGAAGTATTACATGTAATGACACAGTTCAATGCGATGCCCTCGTGTTTTTCAGGAACAAAACAAAGTCAAAACCGTTAACAATAAAGTGACAGAATATCTAGTTGCACATTGACAACAGTTTGTCCTAAAGCGGAATTTCAATCTCCTTGTCTCAGGGGCGCCGGGGGCGGCAGGGGGAGGGGGGGGATGCCCCCTATTGTTGAGACCCGTCAGAAAATTGGAAATTTGTTATGTTGTCGGTATCTTCGTGGTCAAGCATACATACCTGCATATACGAGTGGGAATTATAACTATAACTATATTACCCTTACAACATAGAAATAAAATAAATATGGTTGTGATTCCGCACAAACGTACAAACGTACAAGCTCACAGGCAGAAATAAAACGGTGCCAAACTTGGACGGGTACCGCAATTTAAAGTCTGTGCAACCTTGGGTCAAGTCGTTGGGGCTGCGGCTATGTTTTTTACATCCAAAAAAGGTTAAAATGTGTTAACCTAGGTTAATTTAATTTGCCGTGACGGTCGCAGACGGAATTTTTTTAGGGAATTTAAGCTTCACGTTTGCGGCGACGGCATAGTCGAATTTTGTTTGCACTATAGACAAAGTAACTTGAAATTCTTGAATGCATGCAAAGGAAATCATGAAGAAGTAAACTATGTGTTCTCAGTGTCATTTACAGTGAAGCATATTAACTTTTTGAATAAAACAAGCGCACGATATTGGAAGCGTAACGCGCCGGTTAATAAAAATTCAAGCACTCAATTACGCTAATATTGTACATGTTTAAGATCAAATTTCGCCAAGACACAAAAGAATCCCAAACACCTGAAATCGTCGACGAATGACTACGTCCTAGCCATAACAAATTATACATATGTACATTTATGAGGAAAGTATAGGACCATATTTTAATTGGCAATTCACAAGACGTACATGTACTTTGGCTAGTTTGGAAAACCCGGAAACCAAGTCAATAACATTTTGATTTATGGAGAAAATGTATCACGAGAACGTTCCATATATTCTAAAAACATAGATTGTATAACAGTACACCAAAACTTATAATGCGCGCTCAGCACAGCACATGATGTTTTAATACTGCTTTATATAGCGAAATTTATTAGACATTTCGCGTCAGTTTTGGTTAGATTTTTGAAGCACTCTAACTTTTCTTCATTTTTTGTTTCATGGGTGAGACTTCAGTAAATGTGTGGGGTTGGATAGGTCTACAATATATCTAAAATCGAGGGAGACTGAAGAACTTTTTGTATTTCATATCTGCCAGAAATTGTCGAATTACTGCGATTTTTACAGACAAGTGCATCGTTTTTCATTATCTGCATGGGTGTAAATAGCCGAGCGGAATTAAATCTCTAAGGAGAAAATATTTTATAAAATTAATTAGGGTGTGTTAATAATGCAATAGCTGTGTCCAAATACAGATTTTTACACAGACAATAATTTGTGCAGGTCGTCATCGATAATATTAAATTAACTCATGGTTCACCCAATACAGTAATGAAATTATGCATCAATAGTGTATATAGTGTGCATGAATAGGTTTGATATACTCTTACTTTTAAACGTACAGCCATATAACATTGATTCTATACTGTGTCAATTTTAATACTCTTAGTATCGAAATTCATCACTTTTAAATTGAAATTTTAATGCTTGTGTAAAAGTCTTAGATACAGCTATTGCATCTTTTCTGGGCCACCCTGTTGTGCATAAAGAAATATAGATCAAAATTTCGTGGAAGGTATATATATTTTCCTTATTTTTACCATGTTATACACCCTAGAGTACGTCATTGGGATGTCAACAATGAAATGCTTCATGGTGAATTTTATGTTGACAAATTAAATGATCCAAGTATTCGCGAATGGATGTTTCATCGACTTCGAGAACTTGATCCTGGAGTTAAACTATTCCTCAACGATTTTGAAGTTGTTGCAAGCGGTCTGTATACACAGGTATCGTCATTTTTAGTGTGAAGTTTCTTCGAAACTTCACAGTATTGTGATGACTGGGGGGAAATTCAAACGAAACAGTCAGTCATTCAGTCAGTCATTCATTCATTCATTCAGTCAGTCATACAGTAAACTTTCCGGGGGGGTGTATACGGTATATGTTCGTAGTGATTTATCGTACTTAGTCTGTGCTTTGAAGGTTATTTAGGCAATTTCAGTTGTCTTATTTAAATATTCTTTAGGCCTTTTGCCAAGTTTTGCCAAGTTTACATAAAATTCGAGGAATTGTTGTCGTTATTGTAAATTTTATAACATGCGCTTCTTGATGTTGTGTAAAGGATTTTTCCCCCGGAACACCCGATTTTTTCTTTAGCAGCGCAAATGCGCATGCGCTATCAAGCCGTAGATCACGATGGCGTGACGATGCTAGGAAGGAGCTAGCCTGCTCACAGGCTCTATTATATAGAGCCTGCGACTTTTATTGATATTTTTTCAATACGCCCCCTTTGAGATAATTGAATATCCGGTAAATAGTAGCCAATCAAAGCAAGTTTTGTTAATTAGATTACCAGAGGTTATTAACAACAACAAACAGTTTCTCGCGCAATTTTACGCCTGTATTTTTCACTAGGATTCCAAGGTCTAAACTTTAATCTAAAATAATTCATGGTCGTTTTTTCCCTAAAGTGTTCTAATATTTAAAACATAGTCCCGTTTGTATATTGCTGTCTTGTTCGTACATTGCCGTTTTAAATTATGTAACTATACTACAGAGACGTAAAATTTTACTCTCTATTAGTTAATGTATTTTATATATTTATGTCCAAAATATAACTGTAAGATTTAAGGAAACGTATTTAGGTTTTGAACAAAGTAACAAACACTATTTATTAAAAGTGTTCGAACAATAGCAGGCTAAAAAACAACATTAATCATTATTGCGTGAAGTCTGTCATTTGCTCAATAATACAATTAACTCAATAGACAATAGACAATTTGAAAACCCGTGGCATCGATTCTGCCGTGTTTAATAACTACATTTTTTTTGTAAAAAGCTCTTGTTGTAATAATATATGTCACTAGTTGAGACTCCCAAAAATAAAGTCTCAAAGAGAGAGCGGACTTCGGTCAAAAAACACGCAAACGACTATTGCAAAATTTCCAGGTGTAAATGTTTTAAAAATTTTGCCCATTGTCTTGACTTATTCAAGACCACTAGACCAGATTGTTTAGGCAGAAAGCCTTGGGTTGACAGGGAAGTATTTGGGAGAAATGTTCGGAGGCATTTGACAATCAACTGCTTTATACTAGCTAGCTGATTCACTGCCTGTGTCTCAACGAACGTCTCGCTGGGCTAACCTTAAGTTGTTCAACGTTTGAAACCGCAAGTGATGCAAACGAGGTTAGATAAATTGTCAGCCTGAACTAGACTTATTTTACTCTCTCTGCAAAGATCAGCAAGGCATACGTCGAAGTTTTCCCTTGTACTTCTTTGGAAAA